TGAATGCGCCACTCCCGATCAGCCTAAATGCATCTATGTTCACTCAAATCATTCGTGATCCAGCCTCATCTACAGAAGTGAGTATAAGGGTTTTTTATGAATCTTTGCAAATCACCTTTCCTAATAATGTGCTAATTAGCAAGTTTCAGGATGAATGCGGCTAAAGTAAACAGTCTCTCTGAGAGCAGCTGGGCGGGGCCAGCAGAGCTCATTAACATTTAAAGCAACATGGACTATAATGGCTTGATAAAAACAGAGCTGATTTAGACAGTTTTAAAAGGTGTTTTTTACACTAACATTGAGAAATTTTAACCAAAGTATGTTATAGACTTTTAATTAAGACCCTAAAGAATCATATCAACTTGTGCAAAATGAGCATCCGACGACCCCTTTAAACCACATAAACACATTTCATTACACCAAATACACAAAATAATGTTATTTTTAGCAGCATCATATGACCCCTTTAAGAATGTTGATCTTTTTGAATTCCTGAAAATAATTTTCTTAAAAACCATCATAAATGCTAGTAATATGTCAATTAGGGACCTCGTTTTAATTGTATAATTTGTAATTTGGCAACTTTCAGCACTTGCAAAGATTTCCTTGTGGACAATTCATCTGTGAAGGTTTTTTTTTTTTTTACCTCATAATGGTTAATCAAAACAACAGACATCATTGTGGTGAAGGATGCAGGACTTATCCAGTCAGTTAGCCTGCGTAAACCGTCCCCTGCAAGCCTGTTTAGTCTGCCTCCACACATATTAAAAAGATTATTTTAGAGCTTAAGCATTTTTTGGGGGGGGGAGGGGATTGTACTTTCAAATGTTCTTACGAATTTAAGAAACTTCTTAACTTCTTTCATGAATCCAGCTATCCAGCTCCAACTATCAATTTTTGTGAATGTCAATAAAATGCTCTCTGTATCTTTCTGTCTGCGGTTGATGTAAAAGCTTACATCTTGATGTAAAAGCTTACACAAAAATTTGCTTACCAATGTCATTTTACGTCTGTCTGTCTTTTGTATGTCATATCCTGAGCTTTGTCACTTATGGGGTGACCACATGCACGGATACACACACACACACACACACACACATACTCTCTTGCACCTTCCATGGCCTGGCCCCTGTGTGTTACCTACACCTCACTCCCCCCCTGCCTCTCGGTTTCCAGAGCCTCTGTAGGGTTGAGTAGATTGCAGCTCATATGAAGAGGAAAGAATTCTCATTCTGTAATTATTTATAGTTAGTTATACTGAGATGTGGTGTTACGCTCGTGTAATTTGCTTTTTTTAAGTTCAGTGGCTGAACTACAATTCATTTTGATTTAAGTCAACTTCATTATAATTTAATCATTTTGTGCTTGAGAGAATTTAACATTTGTGTAAAGGATTTTACTAGGTTCCCCATCTCCCCTATTTGTGTGACCCTCCCCTCAACCCCTTCCTCATAATTCAGGACCCTTCAAAACCCTTTTCATTTCAGTTCTTTGTAATGTGTGTTTGCATGTCCCCCATGACTCGGCTCTTTATTTTCTGCATCTGTGTCATTTTTCTTTTGCCTTTTTTTGTTTTGTTTTGTTTGCGTTGTAGCTAAACTCAGGCATACCTTGCATGAGAGCAGCGCTAACGCTCAGGGCAGGATGCAAAAGTGCATGAGGAGAGCACGAGGTCTGCAGCAGCGCATGCAGCAGCAGGAACTGCAGCAGAAGCAACAGGAGGAAGATAAGGAACAGAAACAGCCCCTCAGGTACCTGCTGCTGGCTGCAGTTGTGTATATGTGTGTGTGTGCACTCCAGGAGCCCTGCACACGGGAAGAGGAAACATGCATTGTGCCTTAAAAATAATGATCAATACTTTTTTTAACTTGAAGAATTGAAAGTCAGGTTAGTGTAAGAGATCATATTACAACGAGCTGCTCAGGTAATGTCACGTTTTTAGAGAGGCTGAAACAAATCTGTATACTGCATGACATCGTCAAGAACTGATTCAAGATACTGACTCAGGTAGGTTCACATTATTTATTATCAGAAACTGATTATTATTTTTCATGTTCTGCATTTAGTGAGCAGTCTGTCCCGGTCCAAATACTTCTGACAAATGTTAAAGAAGAGGATGAGAAGGCAGTTTCAGAAAATACATTAAGACCACCATCACCTCTCCACATGAAACCTCAGTCTACAAATAAACCGATTTCTGAAGCCCCCGGCCCTCCTGTCTCCTCCTACCATACCGATACACTTTGCCAGCAGCAAGACCATGCAGGGGACAACTCCAGTCCTCTTGCTGTGACAGAGAATGGGCCACACTCACACACGTGGGGCCCCAGAGACCTTGTAACCACCACAAACTCTCTTGTACAAACTTCTAGTATGCTCAGTTCTGCCACTGTGCCTGTGATCGCAGTGAATGGCTGTGAGGCTCCTCTTAAGTTGTCGGCTCCTCTCAATACGCCCTCTAGTCCATCTCATTTCAGTGCCCGTCAAGCAACTTCCATTTCTGATCACTCCAACTCAGGGGAAGGACTGCAAAACCCACCTCGTCCTCTGTCTCTCCACAGCCTAACCCACACACCCCACAGCCATGCTTCTGATGCCTGTCAAAAATCACTCCCGGCACCCTCGCGTAATTGGTCCTGTCGCAGTCTGGAACGTCCTGATGGCCGTCCTACTGAGATGGAGTCCTCCCCATACTCTCCAGCAGACCTCCGCTCCCCCTCGTCCCCCTGTCCTCCGTCCCTGTCTTCACCAGAACGGGATCAGCGTCCAGCCGGCCCTATGCCCGTGGAGCGGTGGGCCGAGAATGTCAATCGATACTACAACTCCCAGAATTATGCACGGTCGGGACGTGACTCACCCTGTGAGGAGCTGTCAGAGCTGGACTCACTTTATCAGGCCAGCTTGAAGGCTCCCAGCATGCCCAGAGCCCCACAGGGACCCAGCCCTCAGCTAGCCAACAGATCAGGTAATTTTGAACAAGATCTCACTGAGATCTCATATAACTCTCTGTTGAAATGTTTAAAAAACGTATACGTTGCAAAAATAATGAAATGTTTTACCGTAAAAAAATCTATATAAAAATGCACGAGAGCTCCAACCCATGTTCTTAACTAAGAAAACTTGAACCTGAATTTTAAAGGGGACTCAACTCTCTTTTTATTTGTGATACACTGTCTCAGTCTAAATTACATCCACACTGGTGTTTTAGGAATCCAAACAAATTAGAATATATTAAAGGGGCTAAAAAGAACATTATTTTGTGTATTTGGTCTAATGAAATGTGTTTATGCGGTTTAAAGTAAAAAAAAAAACACATTATTTTCCACATACTGTACATTATTGTTTCTTCTCTATGCCCCGCCTTTCTGAAAGTGTCAATTTTTACAAAGCTCATCGGTCTGAAAAGTGAGGTGTGCTGTGATTGGCCAGCTATCCAGTGCGTTGTGATTGGCCGAATACCTCAAGCGTGTGACCGAAATGTTACGCCCCTTACCATACTGTGATGCCCTGTCCGGCCGGAGCGACGAGACAAAAACATTAAAACCCATTATAAACGAGGCATTTGTTGCATCCAGTGGGGACATAATTACGAAATATAATGACTTATACTGTCTTTTTACGCGTTGCGTTGCATCGCGCCGCATAAACATAAAACCATGTCTGCATTTGTGATCGGAGAAATGACAAACAAACAAACGATATCCGCTTCAATCAGCTCTAGGCATAACGACGTGGATATCGTCCTCTTTTGGAACGCCAAACAAAGTAGTTTCGCTTTTACAACGAAACACAGCTTCTGATATGGCGGCAGCAACAATACTACAGCGAGAATAAAAGTTACGCCTTTTTTCTTTGCGTGAACATTTGGGCGGCGTTATGCAAATCTTCACACATCGTGACGTAGTTATGTGGGGGCGTGTTAGAACGAGCCGTTTTAGGTAGGTGTGGTTGACTCTTAACTTTTATAAAGAATATCTCTTTAGATTTGAGACTTTAGTCTTTGCAACTTAACAGATCTTCTTTATGCACAATGAGCTTGTAACACTCCAAAGAGAAAGGAAAATTTTAAATCGCATCATATGACCCCTTTAATAATAACAACAATGACAGTAATAGCCATATATTGTAAAACAATTGAAATCAAAATTATCATTTCATAGGTATATTATTTTTGCTTTACACTACAGTAAGGAAATTACAATACTTCTTTCCTAATTTCTACACTTGAAAGAGATATTTTGAATTTAGACTGCATTTAAACGCTAGCTGTCAGCAATTCATACTGCACTTTTAAGCTTTTATTTTGACGGAAACGGCAGTAGAGCTTTTATTTTGAAGGAAAACTCCAGCTTCAGTGAAAACAGGCTTACAAAAACGTGTCTCACTACAAATTTAGTGAAATGTTGTAATCATCTGCTGTGAAAATAAAGCATAACTGGTGGCCTTTTTTTAAGTGTAGTTTTTTTTTTTAAAAACTACACTTTTTGCCCGGAGGACCTATCGTTTCATATCGTCATGTGACCACGATAATATCGAGACAGTTTTGCTATCACGATATCACAATATTGATAGTATCGTTACATACCTAACTTATTTATATATTTATTTATTTATGAGTTGGCCTTTCTGGAACCAGGTTGTATAAATTTAGTGTTCTTCTAGGTCCCGCTGCTTCTCGTAAGCACAACACTGGATACTCTGCCACACTTGGTCGTTCTAAAACCCCCACAGCAGAGATCGAGAGGAGTGCCTACAGGACGCCAGCATACAGCACTAAATCACTTCAGAGGGTGCGTTGGCATACCTGCATTATTTCAGTAGTATTTATAGTATTATGTATTAGATGTGTGTATAATTGTCATCACACAAAGTGAAGATCTTTCTTAGTATTTGATAAGGATTTGAAATGCTAATGCAGTGTCATTATGTGTGTGTGCAGCCTGTGTCTGCTGCGGCCTATGATGCACCACTGGGTGAGGATGAATCATACAGTGCTGAGAACCTGCGACGAATTGCTCGGAGTCTGAGTGGGACTGTCATTGGAGGACGGACTGATGTACCCCCGTCTCGCAGCTTTGTGGGTGTCTCACAATTTAAAGTCACTTGGTCAAACACTCAAACCTCATATTGTGCACTCAGTAATACATTAGCACCATTTAATTTGCTGCAAAAACACTTCAAGTACTTTTCTCAGTATGTATGAAATGTTACATCATGGTTTTAGGCAGTGTGGTCTTAAATGTTTGTGAACTCACTTTGAAAGAGGAATACTGCCACCTGGTGTGGCTGTGGAGAAGACAAAGAATCTTAAGTACATAGTGGTTTTTAGACGGCGTATCACTTCAGCTGCAAAACTACCTTTTCAGTTATAATAAGATTTATTTATTTTTTTAAATCAGCCAATCATCTCACAGATCTCTTGGAATCCTTCATGGACACCAGTAGTTGGCAGACTCCAGTTTGAGAACCACTGAAGTAGAGCTTAAGTTATTTTCGTTGTTTTCATTTTTATATTTTATTTCATTTATATGTCCATTGTCCATCTGTTCTTTAGTTACCAATTGTTTTGTGTGTGTGTGTGTGTGTGTGTGTGTGTGTGTGTCATTTCTGTCCTTGTCATGGTGCTGCTGGGAACTCGTATTATTTTCATGTCTCCTCCTCTCTCATCCTTTCATTACTTTTTTTTTATTTCTTTCATAAAGGACCCCCATGTCTCCAGGATGTCCACGCATGTGAATGTGCAACTCCCCACACGTCGTTCCAGCACCTCCCTGCATGTTTTAACCCCTACTTCCCACAATCCTCCTATGTTCCCTCATGAACCGCAGCCCCAATACCCTCACCCAAGCCACCGCCACCACTCCACCCTTCCATCACACCTGCACCAGCAGACACTGAGGCTCTCTCATGGACAAAAAGGTAACCATCTCACCCCACCCGCACTTTCAGCCTTTATGTTGCAGACACAGATGCTTTTTACTCTGTCTGCAAGAGGCTGCCATCTGTGTTGTCTGTGATCTTGCGTTTTAACACTTTTGTTGTTAAACTAGTCAAAGGACCTAAAACGCTATTGAGGTTAAGATTGATGATTCATCGGGCAAGATGTATTCTGTTTGTCTATTTAACAATTTTCTGACCTTTCATAAGGGCTGCACAAAAAAACTAATAGCATTTTTTCTATTATATAATATAAAAATACAATACAATATAAAAATGTGATTTAAAATGTTTTTTTTCTCCTTTCTTTTTTTAAGCTCCAGGTTTTCTGTGCTTGTTTGTAGAGATGCACAGTTCAGCAAAAAAAAAAAAACGATATATATATATGATAACAATAACAATTATTATTATTTTTATTTGTTCAATATTTTTTTGAATAATAATAATAATCACTATAATATAGAAAATATCTGTTTTAAAACCAGCAAAACTTAATTAAATTACAGTTTTTGTGATTTGTCAATTGCTCTAAGCTATATCAAGATTTAGTTTTATTATAATTAATCATGCAGCCCTACACAGGATGCATCACTATTATAAACAACGATTCTAATTTTCTTCGCTCCTCTCTGCAGGAGATTGCCAAAAGGCCAACAAGTTTTTGGCTGTGCTTGACAGGGGTGAAACTTTCTCCCGTGAAAACTACCACAATGTCGCAATGAGCTACGGCACCCTTCCAAGGGCCCACCGTAGGTCAGTTTCATCTGGGCCCCCTGTGCACCAAGCAAGGCTGGGACCCCCAGCGGGCCCAGGCCCCCGAAATTACCCAGACGCAGCCTACGCCACACTATCCCACCCTCACCGCACTACAGCATCAAATAGGACGATGGATGGCTTTTACAGACAGCCCCACCAACAATCTGCTTCAACCACCCCAATCCTGCATCACTCCAGCCATCATCACCCTCACCTTGAGCCGCCGACCCAACCCCTCCGCCTTGATGTGCCCCCCAAGAGGGACTGGAGGGCTGCTAGGGACACTCATGTCTTCCCCAGGACAGAACTACGTGGTGGGACATCCCGTGGCCCTCCTGTTTATATCTGCGGGTTGTGCAAGCAGAACCCAGCTGAGCCCACTAGAAGCTACTGCCAGACCTGCAGAGCCCATATGAACCACTACAGAATGACCAGCTGAGTCTTACAGGAAACGCATCCTTCAACGCACTCATTCTTGGCTTTAGCTTTGGCTAAAGTAAAAGACAATGATGTTTGGCTCATATGTGAATGTGGAGTGGTCATTTTCCAAAAGCATATTTTAAACGCAGCTGCTGCATTTAAACGCTAAAAGGAGGACGTCCACTCCCTGCGCTTTTAAACATTTCCACTGCAAATTCAGTTCCACAGAGTTAGGTTCACTTTAATTGGCCACCATCTCAGCACAAAGCTGTGAAGAACAGAGCACTTTGCTGCGTGGGCCGCTGCATCTTAACTGATGCAAACACAAAACGCCAAGACTGACAAACCTTTGCCTGCTGATATACAGTGTCTGCTCCGTATATGCACAAATATGCTTTAGTTTCCAATTACCCTTCCAAGCTAACCTTACTTAGTTCTGTGATAGTAATTTAACTGTTAACTCAAGTTTAGTGCACTTCAGAAGTGTTAAGTTAGAAGCGTTCCTCTGTTGTAACTTCTCCCATTTTTATGGGAAAGCAATGTTTATGTGTAACTACTTCATTTAGAGGGCTGTAACGTCAGTGTGTACAAGTAATCAGAGGTACATCAGGTACCAACAGTCAACTTTCAACAACCTCCTTGGCATTTGTGTCGATATTTGTGTGTACAGTATTGTTCTGCCTGATAGTAGCACCGACACCTGTTGTGATCTTTTTATTTTAAATATTTTGTAGTAGCAACAGTTGAACTTTTTGGTTTCTACAGTATATCTTACATTAACTGTTAAGTGCAAAACTTTTTCAGGCTGTTTTAAGACTTAAGAGATCGAAAACAGAAGGACAGAACATTCTGCAGTGCCTTGGTTTGTGAAAGGCAAAGTAACTGGGTGCCAGTGTCCATTTTATAAATTTTCAGTCATATAATAATGCTTATTATAATAGTGCTAAATTCAAGAATTGCCGTTTTCAATTGAGATCATTTTAGTTTTTCCCCCACTGGAGAATGAATGCTTTTTATATTCTTTTTATTTAATTTCTTGAATGCTGTTGAGGAGGAACTTGTGGCTTGAGATGGTTAATTAGTTTAAGTCTTAAACATTGAAAGTGTTGAGAGTGTCTGTCGGCTATTAGCTGAGTTTGATGGTGCAATGTGCTATTTCATGGAAATAAAAGTGTTACCTGCTCATCCTAGTGAACACATGAGTAGTTAATATTGAAACAGGGCCAAACATTTTTTTTCATACATTTTAGAGCATGTCAAATACCTCAACCAATCACATGCTCTCTTAGTTTTATTTCACCAGAACAGTTTTGCATGTATTATGGTTTCGTAAATCAGGACCTAACGGTGAATCTGAGTGCCTCTGTGTTGAATTCCCACTGGGCGAATTATCTGAAGCTTTTTTTTGTTTGGCCAATATGCAGTGTAACACTGCCCTGGCGTAATTATTGACAGAACAGGGATCTGTGACTGATTTACCCTTCCTTCCTTTTTTTCTGAGTTAAAATACAAACAGATATGGCAAAAAAGCAAGGCTGTATATGTAAGTGTGTACAGATATTTAGTCTTTGACCTTCAGTACAGACGGATTCGGATTTGTTGTAAATGCTGTGCTAGAAATCAAACGTGTATTTTTGCAATAAAGTTATATTGAGCTCCAGTAAGGAGCAGAATGCTGTACCTTTTTTTTCTGGCTGCCTTTTTTTCTTTAAAAAAGTCTGTCTGTCCACTATCTATCCATCCATCTATCTATCTAAAGTTAGTTTATGGTTTGTACTGTGTCTTAATGATTGCTCATTTCCAACTAAATTTCAACTGTAAATGAAGTATTTTTCTCTAGAAAAATATTTACGTATTAATTTAGTTATGTTTGTTTGTTGAAAGGAATAATACCCAACACACATACTGACACAACATCCCCCCCCCCCCCCCCCCCCCCCCACAACAACTTTTATAAAATAATAATCTAACAAAAAAACAAGA